TTTTTTTTTTTTTTTTTTGGGGGGGGGAGGCACTAGACACTATAAAATATATTTAAGGAATATTTGCATATCTGTATATATATTTAATTTTTGGAAAATATTTAAGACCACCCTAGGCAAGGGCGGAGAGAGAGCGGGGGCAATTTCTACCTACTTAAAATTTTAAGAAATTTACAATTTTTTTAAAATTTTCCCCTACCAAAATAATTGTGAAAAATTTTGGAATAGTTTCATTTTCGAAAATTAACAAGGGTACTTTCCCATATTAAAAATTTAGGCCTGTAGATTAAATTTCGACTTGAGTTCAATTTGATTTTGAATTAGATTAGTCAAAATGAATTCATATTTTTGATTGCTTATCTAAGCATAATTTCTTACAAATTTAGATTTAGATATATCACAACTTGTTCAAATTGTGATTCGGTTTCATTTATACATACGTATTTGTGCATATATGATGAAAACAAGAATTATGTGATAAAATTGAATCAAAATTAATAAATAATTTGTTAAAATTCAATTTTAGTTGATTCAGATTTAAATGTTAGTATTAATTAATTTATTAGAATATGGATTGTAAAAAACGAAATTAGTTAGACAATTGAAACAAATTCAAAAAGAAGCTTTCAAACCAGATTCGGATATGAGTTTTTACATCATATTTGGATCACTCGAAACCTGATCCAAATTCGACCGTCGAAGGGCTACTCATTATTTTTTTGTAAAACGCTACAAATTTTGAAGATTATTGGTGAATCATTTTGTTAAACTCGATGAGTTCCCCCATATTGGAGAAAGCGTGGCTCTGGGCCAAGGGTAGTTCTGCCCATGCTTAGGACGATTGCTTAAGCAAATGAGTTTGATGTTCTATATTTTATCCTAGTCCTAACAGTATTCCACTTAGTTATGTCTAAAATTTTAAGTTGACAATTTTTACTTGTCACACAATACCTTTGGGATTAATGTTATGAGTTCTTGAATTACAGCTGTCCGACTTTATGTGCTACACTTAGTTCCATCTTGCCATTTTTGGGATCACTACCATCCTGGGCAACTAAGTTTCTTGCAAAAAAATTCTTGGGGGAATCTTGTTCTAAGACTGCAATCGAGGCTCTCTGCAATCATATGCTCCAGGTGATGTTTTATTCGGTCTACAAGATAAAGGCTTCTTAGAATGCAAATTTTACATCCATAAAGTTGTATATGTGTATATTTTTTTTTTTCAATTACCTTTTGTTATACAAATGTAAAGTTGTGCTTGCTCTGTTTGGGATTGTTGCTCTTAACGCGTGATAGCATAAAAGGGAAAGAAAGGTACGTGTCATGATCAGTGAAGCCTGTCAACTGGAGCTTTACAAGCTAATATAAATATTTACTCAAATCAAAATACCAACCCTTGTGTAGATTGTTTTTGTCACCAAAATCAATATGGCATTTCAAAAGCTTGATGAGGAATTACCATGGTAAACAAACTCCCCATGAGCATAACGTGTAATTACAGAGTGCAAACTGCGTCTCGCATGTTTCTTTGAGGCTTCTGTTCCTCTTTCGCTTAACATTATTAAAGTACTACAAAGTTGTTTGGCGTCAATTATGTGCCATGTGACTTGAGATGGAGATGGTTTCCAAAGTTCTTTGCTCTTTGAGTTCATTAGTTTGCCTCCCATGCGCTTCATTGTTTCGCTACTGAGGTAATTGCTAATGCTTCATATTTGCCTTTCCAAACAAAAATTTTGTTGGGTTTAAGACTGTAGTAGCTATATGAGAAATAGCCTGTAATTCTGTTTAGCTTTATTTTTAACGTGTCCGTTGTTTCAAAAACTTGGTGAATGATATAACCATTGTCATTTCTACTTGTCTCACTTTGAAAAGAGAAAGTTCCCTTAGGTTCAAGATTTTTGGCCGACTAGCCCTGTTACTAGTCTTTATAAGATTATTGTGAAGTATAAGTAAGGGTTAGGGAGAGCTTCGTGGTATGTTTAGTATGAGGGATGGAACATGGGTGGAGCCACCCTTCGCCTAGGATGGTCACGGGCCCACCTTTAAATATTTTAACAAAATTATATTTTTTTCATAAAATTACATGATCTTTTGTTGTTATGTGAAATTAGGGTCATTGTGTAGCAAAATACTCTATCATTTTGGACGGATATAAAAAAAATCATGGTTATAAAAAACCGAAAGAGGAACCAAGAGATTTAGGGCAAAACTGGTAGAGGAAAATGCGTGATCGGTAACTGTGCTACCCTCCAATTATTGTGTGATGCTCTAACAAATTGTGCCATTTATTTATTTTTACTTAAGATATGCCTAGTATTACCACCATGTTTTTTTAGATCTTTTGATCCTTTATACCTATAATTTTAGTCCTTGTTTAGTTTTTTTTTCAATAGAGTTTTTTTTTTCCTGAGAATACAAGTTGTGATTTGTCTGTAATTGCACGTTCAATATGGTCTCAAATTTTTGTTTTTGTGAATGATTGCTTTAGGCAAGGCCCACCTAGATTGAGTTTTTGGCCCCCACCCCTGGATGGAATCATGGAAAAGGTTGGTGG